GTAATCGAATTCATTTCGATAAATCAACGGGTGGGTATAATTGTTTTCACCCGTGGCATCTGCTCACACCATAGTTTAACTTCACTATCTCTGAATAACTCAACTTATACTTCAGATAACCTATAATTTGAAGAATGAAAAAATCAAGTTTTCTCTAACGAGGGAACATTCCCAACTGTCACATCGCTTTTGAGACGAGCGTATGAACATTATGTAGGCCCTAATGACCTATGAATGTCCTGAAAAAAGTTCGTGCTGCTAGCTTCTTACTGCTGAGATACAGCATGTTTACTGTGTGTTTAAGGAAAAAGCCGTGGTCCCCCTCAGGAACATCAGGAAAAGTGACTTTTGAGTTTCCGTTTGAAACGTTGCATGTAGACAGGCCTCAATGAGAATAGTTTATTGTGAAGGTTTCAGATTTTTTGGTTGCTCCTAGTCTGAGATAAGAACGTCGGATCTGCTGGTGTATTTGAACAATTTTACGATAGCTATATCTTAGGATAGGAACAGCGAAAAGAGCTGAAACTTTCACAATAAACTATTCTCATTGAGGCCTATATCTACGCAAAGTTTCAAGACGAAATTCGAAATTCAGTTTTCCGATGTTCCTGAGGGGGACCACGGCTTTTTTTTCTTAAACATACAGTAAAAACGCTGTATCTCGGCAATAATAAGCTAGCAGCACGAACTTTTTTCACAGAATTCATAGATCGTGAGGGTCTACATAATGCGCATACATTCAGATTAAAAGCGATGTGACAGTTGAGAATGCTCCCTCGTAAGTAGATTGAATAATTTTTGTATCTACTTGAAGATGTACTGGTTCTGACTCTTTTTACAGTTTCACCAATATAAGGACGCCATCTCATACAGTTATTGTCGCTTATAATGCACTAGATATACATATATATCAAATGGCCAATTAACGTATTAGGCTAGTTCGGTCTTCGGTGCCCTATCGGAAGATAAGCCTTTCATAACAGCTTTCCATAGTTTCATCGACGATCTGTCACGTTGTTTCACTGAAAGACTAATTGAGTCGATTTGTAATCGCTATATGTCATGAGAATTCGCAATTTCTAGCTAATCACTGCAGTTTCTTGCATCACGGAACCCATAGTCTTCTGAAATTATCCTTGACTGTATTTCTAGCTTCTTGAGATATCTCTACAAGTCAAGACTACCTAGCAAATCGAAAAATTCAACCGATTACATAAAAACAAGTAAGGTTCTTATATATTCAGCTGGGTACCAAAAGTAGATCCTTCGGGCATCTCGTAACGGTAATGTTCAATCGGCGTATTTTTTGCAATAAATTAATGAAATCGATGATGTTCTACAAAAAGAGATAGATTTCAATCCGTTTCTAGAAACTTGTTGCATTCATGGTCGAAACAAGCCGAAAATAGCAAAGAAAAAGTCATGCGATGTGTTTGAATTTCAAGTACATTAGCCTCACAATTGCCAACAATTAAATGTCAATTGAAACAAAGGAGATAGATCACTGTTACGTTCGAAAGAATCATCTAGTTAGACAATGTGGTTGCCGATACACCTGTGAGCACAGCTGTTATCCAACCAAGACAGGGACGAAGTGCTCCTGTCTCCGAGTTTTGACCAATACTCAAGAACCCAGCGATAAGTTTCATCTTCGTTTTATATCCGTAGTTGCCCAATACGAAGTCGGCCTGAATGACAATTTCATTGAAATCCCCAAAGTCGATGTCGTTAACGAGACCCTAAAGTGAACAAGACACGTTTTGCAGTATATTCACTGAATGACCAACTATCGATCAACTATTTCTACTTCTTCGTAATGGTCATAATCCTGTTGAGCCTTGCGATAGAGATCGTTTCCATCACAAACATAAATGAGAATGAAACGATCATGCATATCGAAGTACTCGAGGGTGTAGATGTGCTTGTATTTACCTCCTCGCGATACTCATACCCTTCTGACGGTTTTAGTCGAATGAGAACATCGATCAAAAGTGGCGATGTTACAAATTCTCCATTCAGACGAGCACTAGTACAGCCATTAGCATTTTTTGTCTCAAATAACTCGAACGCGAACGGCTCAAATTTGTTACGAAGTCAACGAAATTCGAATGCATCCAACTCAGTGGCTAATTTGTTAGCTGATACTATTTTGACCTGTTTTAAAATTTTAAGATAAACAGATGAATTTGAGAATTTCTTCTAACCTACCTTCGTGAAATCCAAATATTTTTTTCACAAAGTGATTTCAGAATCCATAATAGGCAAAATCAAAATAGCTTGAATTTGAGGATAGTCATGATTTGTCGACTGATATTCGAAGTCATTCTCTTTTGTTAACAACAAGAATTAGTATTTTATCAAGCGTCACATCGCGAATCACGTATTCATACTGAGTCTTAAAGTCATTATTAAATGTTTCTGGATTGTCATTGTCTGTAACAGCGAACAACATTTTTACTATCATATTCATGTTGCTGAAGTGGTTTTACATAAAAACAAATGTAGGTTGAATCGGATCATACATCTCTACTTGCCATCAGAGCCATTGTTGAAGAAGCTAAATAACAGTTTAAAGCTTAGGTCATGAAAAGATATTTTGATTCTGTCATAGAATATGAATTATACAATAGGCAATTTTGCAAACTCAAGGAAAATAATTTTCGCTAGAACACTCCTGTTAAGAAAGTTGAATTTATCGGAAACTCATCATTATGCTGATCTCTACATAATACTAAAAACCAGTAAAAGATTTTAGAGATTAAATTCGATTAAAACTTCTAAATGCTATGGTCTAATCAAAATTAATAACTTAATTATTCTGCAGCAAAACTCGAATTATAATCGATTAAAATTAAAAAAATATCAATGAATTTTATCGATTAGTATTGATTGATAATTTTGATTATAACCGATTGCTACAGATTAGAAGAATTGTAATTGAAAAAGAAATCCAATTATAATCGGTTATAAATGGGATTTTGTCCCGAGTGTGGAGTCCGAGCGTGGACGGGGGTTGTCTCTTCACCTACTCACACCCACATCCACAAGTAAGTTTAGTTTTTTTTTCTTCCATGTGCTGAAATAGTCATAGGACCTGTTAGGAAAAAATAAAAATTCTTTACAGGTCTTTCCGTGGATAAAAAACCTCATGCACATACACTTGTTTCCCATCTGTTGTAGGCTTAACCAGATTGAATATTGCTTGTATGTTAATTGCAATACAATCTTCTCTAAAGTTCGAGAGTGCTCAACATCTCATTATGTTGCCAGAAGTAAAGAGTCATGCGCTTTTGTAGTGCATTTATTCGTCTGTTTAGTTAAAACAAAAAAAACACAGCAAGCGCAACGTTAAGGCAATAGCCGTTGTTTTTTTTTCATTCTTTAAGTTATACATCTGTTGATAAGACGTGTTCTCTGTTCTTCTCTACGCGTTTCATATATATATATTCGCACTACATATATCTATGTATTCTTTGATTTCTAGTCGCGTGCTTCTTGTTGTTCTTGAAACGTGGCCAGTAGTATTGAACATCATACGATATCTTTTGATCGCTGTGTCTAATATTCAACCATGACGATGAACAGCATATATGACAAGGTATGCTCTTGGGATGTAGATGTGGGGTGGATCAGCTGTTCAGTCACATCCACACCCACCCACTAACCCCACCCTGCTTAGAACAAGTATTGCTCTACCATTTAGCATGAAAAATGGCATCATACTAAATACAAGATATCATTCCGAGTTAAAGTTACAATTTTTATTTTATATTGTGGCCTTGATCTGTATACACCATATGCGTCTTCCCAGCACATTTTGTTTTTTTTTTGTTCTACATGGAATAGTCCATTATCAAAGCTTCCATTCTTGCCCCTTGTTATCTTGACCTTGCAAAAGCAAATATAAATGTCATAAGCCCATCGCTAAGCGAAGAATACAACATTCTTGAAAGCACTACTCTATTTATCGAAAGTAAATCATGGTTTCCTTTCCGTATGTTTGCATCCTGTTACTATTGATGATCACTGTTGAAGGACAAAGTAAAGAATTTTTGAATATCGAGTATTATGAATTGAATATTTTTTTTTACTAAGCAGTTCAGATGTGTGGCATGAACGAGAAGTATGAGAGTTGCGGCTCAGCCTGTATCGAAACCTGTGACCACAGACCCGAAGTCTGTATCATGCTATGCAAAAGTGGCTGCTTCTGTGAGAAAGGATACGTCCGTCAGTCTAGCACACGTGGAAGTCCTTGCATTAAACAAGAAGCTTCCAAAAGAAAGGATGATACCCATCTCTGTGGCGCGTACGAAGAATTCAACATTTGTGGTTCAGCATGTGTTGAAACTTGTGATTATAAGCCTCAGATCTGCACAGAGCAGTGTGTCGCCGGTTGTTTCTGCAGCGATCCCAAGTACGTTCGACGGGACAACAGCACTGGCAGCCCATGCATAAGACGCGAGCGATGTCCGAAATAGAGTAAAATAATTTCTTGAGAAAGGCATGTTCAACTTTTGTGGAAGTTTTATTTGAAGAAAATAAGCAAAGCAATTGTCAACATCTAAAATACCCTACCATTTCAGCCATTCGAGTCTAAAGTTTAGACGTTGTTTATTTGTGAAACAAAGATGTTAAAGTTCTATCGAGAGCAGCCAGAAGATGTATAATATCAAGTTCTTTCTGCACGAGTGTTGTCTGTATGTAAGGGTATGGATGTGAATGAAGGCAAGACTGCCACACTTACGTTCGCACCCACACCCACATCTACATCCTATACCCTTTCATTCGTTTGGAATAAGTTTGAGATGAATCTTTATTATCATCATAGCCAGAAAACTGATTGTCATACTCTTCATCGTTGTCAATATTCATTATTGGTTCTTCATCGAATTCAACATAATTACGATGATCTTTTAAAAAATTTAGAAAAGTATTTAAACTACTTTCGTATAATTGTTAATATTTACGATGATAGGTCGTTGTTTTGCTTTTAGGAAATTTTAATTAGTTCTTTGTAATTGTTCAATATGAATTTGATATTGATTTTGAGCAACAGTAATAACTGTAACATGACTATGTGGTGAAAGTTTCATTTGTATTAGTAATTTTGCAAGTTCAGTTGTTATATGTTTATCAAGGTAACGTTTCAATGAACGAACATCATTAACTATTTTAAACAAGAAAAAAAAGCAACGTATTGAATTTTAGTGTTCTTAATAAATAGATAATGATTTAGTTTAATTAAAAAACTCTTTTTCTAAAAGCCATTACAATTTATAGTTTAAGATGTTTTTAAAGTATTTTCTTCGCAATGAATGACTGGAATGAAATGAAAGTATACGAATTAATATATTAGATTAATGAGAGATACTTCGTTGAATGTAAAGTAATTATTATCAAGTACTCCTATAGAATTGAATTAGACATAATTAGTGGAATATCAAAGTTGCTCAAATTGACAATGTATGAGAAAACACATATCTCTGTCAGGTTGAATTTTTGTTTTCTTTTTAACAGACAATTTAATGAATAGAAGGCTAGATAGATTGGTTTTCATACTACTCGTTATAATTTTTAAAAGACTTAAGATTCCATATATTCAAGATTTCATTTTCAGATTCAACGTGAATTTTGGTATTGCTTGTAATGTCAATATTCCACTTGACGATGTGTAGAAATTAGATATTTTTTTGAATCTGCACTAGATGTTTACTTTTGTATTCTCATTCATTATAGAAGAATAGAAATAACTTCTAAGTGAATGAATAGTGATCCAAAATCAATACCTGGATTATAAGATTTGAGAGTTGTTTGAATAGCTTTATCTGTTAAACAAACTGTAATATCTTGTTTTTTCAAACGTTCTTAGAGTGATTTTAATTGAAGGTAAACAATAGAAGAAAGTGCATTCATATTGAGAGGTTGAAAAAATACGATATCATTCAAATGATTTAAAAATTCTGGCTGAAAATGTAAACGAACCTTTAAAATAAAAGAATAAATTTCATTATTTAGTATGATATTATCTCAAATTAAAAAAATACGAATTTTTTTTCATAACACGATCTTTTATTGATTGAGATAATTTACCATCAAACATTTTTCTTATCGATGATGAATTTGCAACTTCTTCTAAAATATATTGTACACCAATAGTTGATGTTAATATAAAAATTGTATTTGTAAAATCAACTATTGGACCATTTTCAATCTAAAACAAAAAACACTCCAAATAAAAATCACAATTTTTAATAATTAATAACTTACAATAAGTCGACCATCATCTCAAACTTGTAATAACGTATTCTAAATTAGTGAATGTGCTTTGTCAATTGCATCCAATAAAATAACAGCATAAGGTTGTTGTCCAATTGCTTCTGTTAATTGACCACCTTGTTCAAAACCAACGTAACCAAACAAAAAACTAATTAAAGAAAACAAAGATGCGTGACAAAAATAAACTTTACTTGATGGTGCACCACTTAATCGAGCTATTGAATGAAATTCTGTATAGTCTCTCATATCCATACGAATCATTGAGTTTGTTCAATCAAATAATTCCAATGCTAAAGTTTTTGCTGATTTAGTTTCACCAACACCGGTTGGACCTAATAGGAAAGAAGTAAGATTTTTATTATTATTATTTACTTTTAAATAAAACTAACCCGAAAATAAAAATAATCCAATTGGTTGATTTTGCTTTGAAAGTCCAGCTCGACTTCTAAGAAAAACTTCAGCAACATTATTAACAGCATCATCTTGTTCAATCAATTTTTCATGTAAATGTTCACTTTCAGTTTGAGATAATTTTGATACTAGAGTACCAGTCCATTGACTAACTAAAAAGGAAAAACAAACATTTTATTTTCATGCAAACAAAAAAAAGAAAATCTATAAGATTGCATACATAGGCTAGAACCTTCAATGAAACAAATATTTAAATACAAACCTATTTCAGCAATAGTATTTGATGCAACAACTTCAGTTAATAATCAATCGTGTTGCTGTTTATTTTCCTCAGTAATTCGATATTCTGTTTCGGCTATTTTTTTCAAGATCTGGAATAGCTCCACATTTCATGCTAGCAACTAAAGGTAAATTTTTTTTTCGTTCAGCTTGAGCCATTTTAACTAGACGAATGTCAAATTTTTGTTTTAATTTTCTTCATTCATCAAAACGTTCTTTTCAGCTTTATATCTTAATTTTAATGATTTTAATGCTGCACGTATTTTTGCTACTTCTTCTTTAATTTGTTTTAAACTTTATTTTGATGCATCATCTTTTTCTTGAGATAATACTGTTGCTTCAACATCTTATTGTAATTCACGACGTTCTAGTTGATCAATTATTTCCAGTTGGCTCTCCAATTGTACACATATACTTGTGCATGTTTCATCGATTAAATCTTTAAAAGAAAACATAAAGTTTTAGTTAAAATTTTAAAAAATAAATATATATACTAATAGCTTTATGTGGTAAAAATTGATTTGCTATATAACGATTCGATAATTCGGCATCTATAACTAAAGCTGAATGAAGAATTCGAACTAAAATAGATCTAGAAAAAAAATCAACAAAATGGAATAAATAAATCATACCACCAAAATGTGGCCCATAACGATCTTTAAGACCTCGTAAAATTGAACCACGAGCAGCAACTGTGAGTTCTTTTACTAAAACTTGTTGAAAACAACTTTCAAATGTTGGATATTTTTCAATATATTTTCTATATTCATCTAATTTTGTTGTACCAATACAACGAACTTCATCTCGAGCTATCAACAAATATTTTTATTAAACTATTAAATCAAAACAAATACAATTCATACCTAACATTGGGTTTAATAAATTAGCAACATTCATTGCACCTAAAAATAAAAATAAAAATAGTTTAATTATATCATTGTTTTGTTTTCAAAATTTAGAATTTAATTAATACCTTCTGCTCTTCTAGCGCCAAGAACTAAATGTAATTCATCAATAAATAATATAATACCACCATTTAAATTTTCAGTTTCTTTTAAAACTGATTTAAGACGTTCTTCCAATTTACCACGACAACTTTCATCAGCTAAAATACTGTATTTCAATTATGTATTTAAAACACTATTTCAATCAATAACATATTATAACAAAACTTTCAAGCCAAAAGAATTTTATTATAGAAGGTAATTTCACAAGTACAGTGAGAATCCAGGAAGTACAAGAGCACCTCGTTTCCTTTGTACTTCAAGAGTTCACAGAGTCTGTGGAGTTCAGTCAGAATATATGGATTCTGCGTAATACAGAAGTACGTTATTTCCATTTTGTATTATATACTGTTCTAGTACAAACTCTACAGAGTTTTGGGTACATATTTAGATATGATTAAACTTTCGAATTTTTTTCTGAAATTTCGCGCATATAAGGGATTCGACCAAACTAGATTTCATAAAAAAAATTCATAAGTTTTCCGTAAAGTCTCTTCGGGATACAAAAGTTTTTAAAATTTCATGATCAGCATATTATTTATGTTTTTTCGGAAAATCCAAAGTCCTAAAGGGGTTTCTTGAAAATAAACATATTAACAATCCAATAGCTTGGTCAAAATCTCTATGAAGCACAGATCCTTTTAAAGTTGTTAATAGAATAATAGGTTATACCTATAAGCAATAACTCATTAAAACCGAATATTGGTATCTAAGAGTATTTCTTCTGAAAGTGCTTTTATGAAGCGAATACATTTTAATGATTTTCACAGAAAATAAATTATAACTAAATTCTCTTCGAAAAATTAAGAAATATGTGACTCCTGTTAACAAAACTCTATGATACATTTTTGTCATAATCAAATGTAGAATATGACATTATATTCGTAATATCATTATTCAACGATTTTTTAAGTTTTTCTCTAAACAGATAAAGTGTTTAAAAATTTCTGATAAATCGTACCAACTAATGCTCCCATGTCGAATGCAATTAAACATTGTAGTCAAGTATCAGAAACATCGTGATAAACAGTACATTGTGCTAATTCTTCAACAATAGATGTTTTTCCAACACTCTATTTAAATCAAATATGTTTTTTTTTATATTGACAAAATTCAAAACAAATAAAACTCTTACTGTTTCTTCAATAAGAACAGGATTATTTCTCATTCGCCTTGATAAAACTTGAATACAATGACGAATTTCTTGATCACGGCCAATAACTTGATTTAATTTTCCATCTTCAGCATCTGCAACTAAATCATGATCATATTTTTCTAATGCTTGATATGTCTAAAAGAAAATTTATCGAAATAGATTTTGTACTAAAAAGAATAT